ACAAAAAAACTATAAAAATAAGGTGTCCAGTTTATTTTGGCCACGGGATAGGTACTTTGAGAATAGCATTACAAACAAAACTAAACATGCATCGCATTGACACTCATCTACTGAATTTACCCAATGAGATATTATTGACTATTTTCAAGAAACTAGACAATATCTATGTTCTCTATTCAGGGATTGGTATGAAGTACCCAATGACTTGATCTTCTAGCACGAGATATTATCTTCACTAACACTCTCAATTTTATGTCAAAAGAAACTGGTAATATTTGTTCAATCGATGATTCAATATTTGATCGATTTTGTATCCATATACTACTCCAAATTCAACACAATGTTGAATATCTCATTTTTGAATCAATGATCATGGAACGTATTTTACTTATTACTATTTATCCTAATCTTACTAAACTGAAAATCTTCAAATTCAATCAAGATATTGTTTTACGATATTTTACAGATAAGTAATTCATATTCTAATCTATTTAACGATTGAGATAAAGAGAAAATCTTTGAAAAGACAAATGTAATATATATATTTATTCCTTCTTCAGATGAATCACCCTTTCGACATATTTTCAAACAACATATTACAGATCTAAGTATTATAACTGAAAACAATAACCGTACAACAAGAAGGGATTACACAAAAAATGTCTATGCATACATCTTGAGCTTATTCGAGAATCTGAAGCATTTGAGTATTGTTGGATCATCTACGGGGATGTGTTCAAGTTTGTCACTTTGTTATTTATCATTGAGTACTTTTTCTTCGTCGATTCTAACCACATTATGTATTAATGTGTATGATATTAATGATTGTCTTTCTTTGTGTACTTGATGTTCGTCCCAAACAGCTGTCTACTCTCATGATTATGATTCATAGTATACAGAATAATTCATCAACAATATGCAACTCGGTGAATCTATATAATAGTTAACGCAAATAATCATGCTTCTTTGATAGAATCAATTGCTTAATATAAAAGAGTGTTTGTTGTTTCAATTTCTATGTAAAATTATGGGTTTTGTTTGATATTTTAAAGCATACTGTATGTTCTCAAACATCATATAATTGTGTCATTCATGTTTACCATTATTAGTTGCATTAGAGAGAGTAAAGAAATTGTTAGTAAATTTTCGATTGTATAGTTTTTCATTGAATTATTAAATATTTATTGTTTTGTATTTTATAGGATGATCTACCTAATTTGAAATGTTTCTCATTTAAGAATGAGTTCTTTCACTTATGGATATGATATTTTAATTGTACCACTTCTTCGTCGCATGCATAATCTTGAAGAATTAACATTACGTCTTATTATCAGTGATCGAAGTAGATTTATTGATGGTACTCAACTTCATAATGATATTATTATTCATATGCGACAACTTCATAAATTCATCTTTTATATAATGATCCATATTACGAAGAATCATTGAATTTGTTATTTATCAAAGGACGATATTCAACGAACATTTACTAATATAGGATATGAACAAGTGGATTGTATTGTAGAATATACAAGTATCATGTACGTCAATTGTCATGTCTTCGCACGTCCATTCGCCTTTGCTTTTCTCAAGTTGTCTGACAATAACTTTCCAGATGTTATATACAATAATGTTACTCGCTTAGCTCCATTGAAACACAAATTTTTTATTAGAATTGCTCGCTGTTTTTAATTGTTGAAATCTTTGTTTATTATGAATAATAACATTGACCTATTAGATATGTATAAAGAGGAATCTGATTCTAATGAATCACAGACATGTCTACCGAATCTCACGGAATTAAAAAACCAAGTATCATAAATTGCAAATTGTGACAGACAACTTTACAAGACAAGCCACACGACTCAATTTGTAAGAAGATAAAACGGTTAATTTTTGAACAATCAATGGTACATACCAAAGAGTTTTATGATTAGAGTCCTTTATTGTAACTTTAATTTGTTTTGCTTACTTGAATAAAAACAAAGTAGAATACTTATTATGAAATACAAATAGTAATAGAGATATCTTAAAGCAAGATTATGTGCATGAAGTTGAATAAAATTTTTAATAGAATTTTGAAGTTTATGTCTAAAATTTGGAATATACCATATTAACAAAAGTTTCAAAGCGATGTGCGATATATCGTGAACAATTTTTTGGAAGACTATGGAATATAAATTGGATATCAATGAGCATTATTAATCTGCAGTCATAGAAAATGATTATATTATTGATACTGACGAGATGTTGTTGTTCACGAAGGATTGTATGGATTCATATTTTCTATACTGCAACGCTATTGGAAATGTTTTCCACTGTGGACAAAGTTCCAGTGCAAAGAGAAGTGCTGAAATCTGCTTGAAAACAGGATATAGGAGTATAATTTGTAACTTCCTTAGATGGCCAATCATAAAAACCAAAGATTCTCAGAGAAAAGTTGGGTGTATCACATATTGTGAAGATATCTGTGCTGATTATTTTAGTAAGAAAAAAACTTTAATTTGAGCCTAGTTGGAATGAATAAGCAAAGATATTCCAAGTAACTGTAGCTGATGTAGAAGCAAATATTTAGTAACATACTTGACAACTTGCAAAAACCTTCAATTCTCTCGAATTCATCAGTATCTTCTAAGGTTTTAGTTGAATAACCAAAAACTTTTCAGCATCAAGTTTTTATTGAAAGCAATTGTTGATGGTTGTTTGATCCGTTCTGAATGTAAACTGTTTTCGACGTGATACTAAATTAGCACCAGTACTTGAAGATAAAATATTAACAAGAATTGATGATGAACAAACCAAAACTAGACAATGACATCTCTATCAGCCTATTTAGGCTTCTTCTACACAGAGATAAATAATATTTCTACAAATGTATATTATAAAAGTGTTTACCGAAAAGAATTTACTACAAATGGACCACTATAATCCTGTTTATCATTGAAATATAACTACCATTCGATTATATTAATTAAATATTTCTATGAATTGTTTTCTGTTTAATCATTTGAATAAATTTTATTTTCTTTCATGAAAATTATTTGCAAAATAAATGTCTAGAAAATTTTGTAAGTCTTCATTACATTACCAAATTGATATTATAAAATCCAAAAATCTATTTGTCAAAAGTATAATTTCACAATTCTAAATATTCAACTAATCCATCATGTCATTAGGTGACATCTATTGCATTACTTTTTATCTATTGGTTAATAATCGCAACTATGGCTAGAGTCTTTTTTTCGAACTTACAAAATAATTTCATTTACTTAATTTTATATTGCAAAATGGCCGCATCACCACCATCTCCTTCATCTGATAATCAAATGAATCAATCATCATCAAGTGAAGATGAAGAAACGAATGATCATCGTGAATCAGATATACGTGAACGTGATGAATTTACAAAACGTCTTCGTCAACGTGATGATGAACAAACAAAAAAGAAATTTAAAGCTGAACCTATTTCACGAGATTCTGATCGTTCAAAATTATCTATTGAAAACTTACGTAAAAAATCTCGTCATGTTTATTTAGCATCACGAAAAGATAAAAAACTTATTGAACTTGAACAAGAACTTGCTGATGAAGTATATTTATTTAAAGATACTAAATTAACAAAACGTGAAGAAGAAAATATTAAATTTAAACGATATGCATTAAATTTAGCACGTGAACATGAAAAAGCTCAACAAATGGAAAATATTGATCGTTATCATATGCCAACTGGTAAAAGTGATGAAACATCAAAAAATGATCGTTATCGTGAAGATAATCGTTATTCAGATTCGAAAGCAAATGGACAAAGTGGACAAAATTTTGAACAAAGAAAATGGGAAGATGAAGTTATACATACAGCATTACCACATTTTGGTTCATTAGATAAAGAAACTAAAATTAATCAACCAAAATATGATTATATACTTGATGAAGAAATACAATTTGTACAACAATTAACAATACCTGGTGTTAATGAATTATTACAACATAAAGATAAATTAAAAATAAATGAACATGAAGATGAAAATAAACGTAAATATCGTTCATTACAAGAAGTACGTAAAACATTACCAATTTATAAATTTCGAGAAGATCTTATTAATGCAATACGTGATCATCAAGTTTTAATTATTGAAGGAGAAACAGGATCAGGAAAAACAAGTAAGTTTATTAAATAATTATTTAATTTGTCTTATTAAAAAAAAAAATATTTATTTCATTTTGATTTTAGCTCAATTAACTCAATATTTATATGAAGAAGGATATTGTGAAGCTGATACTGAAGATGAAGAAGATGAAGATGATGATGATAAAAATATAAAATTACTTAATGGAAAAAAGAAAGACAAAAAAAAAATGATGATTGGTTGTACTCAACCACGTCGTGTCGCAGCTATGTCTGTTGCTGCACGTGTTGCCGAAGAAATGAATGTAAAATTAGGTCGTGAAGTTGGTTATTCTATACGTTTTGAAGATTGTTCATCTGAACGTACAATAATTAAATATATGACTGATGGTATGTTATTAAGAGAATTTCTTAGTGAACCTGATCTTGCATCATACAGTGTTTTAATTGTTGATGAAGCGCATGAACGTACATTACATACAGATATATTATTTGGTTTAGTTAAAGATATAGCACGTTTTCGACCTAAACTTAAATTATTAATATCATCAGCAACACTTGATGCTGAAAAATTTTCACAATTTTTTGATGATGCACCTATATTTCGTATACCTGGTCGTCGTTTTCCTGTTGATATTTATTATACAAAAGCTCCTGAAGCTGATTATATTGATGCAGCTGTTGTTACAGTTTTACAAATTCATGTAACACAACCATTAGGTGATATTTTAGTTTTTCTTACTGGTCAAGAAGAAATTGAAACAGCTAATGAAATGTTATTAGAAAGAACTAGAAGACTTGGAAGTAAAATAAAAGAATTAATTATTTTACCAATTTATTCAACATTACCATCTGATATGCAAGTATGTAATATTTAAAGATGATTATAAGTGGGGTTTTTTTTCTGCTTAGCAGTATATGAGAGATTTACAATTTTCATATAAAAATATTCGCAAAAAAAAACTCAAGTTTCTATTGACCGATTAGAATAAATTATTGTTGTGTTCTATTATGTAATCCTTACTAATAGAAAAAAAAACTGATTTTTTTAATCATCATCTATTCTTAATTTTAATATGTCATTGAAGTTGTCCCATTGAGATCTGATAAACTATAACTCACATTTTTAGTTTATATTGATTATTAAAGATTTCTCGGAATTTCTGTATGTTTCCACTGCTTTTATAGTAACGATTTAGAGATTTATTTTTACTGTTCTCTCCTAACTTATTTTGACTTTTTCTCTTTAATACAATCATTAAGTTGTTTTCTTTTTTTTTTTCATAGATTCGAATATTTGAACCAGCTCCACCTGGTGCACGTAAAGTAATTTTAGCAACAAATATAGCTGAAACATCATTAACTATTGATGGTATACATTATGTTATTGATCCTGGTTTTTGTAAACAAAAAACTTATAATGCACGAAATGGTATGGAAGCATTAACAATAACACCAATTTCAAAAGCATCAGCTAATCAACGAGCTGGAAGAGCTGGACGTGTTGCACCTGGAAAATGTTTTCGATTATATACATGTAAGAATTTTTAATATAACTTGTTACATAATTAAAATTTTTGTTTTTTAGCATGGGCATATCAACATGAATTAGATGATAATAGTATTCCAGAAATACAACGTACAAATTTAGGAAACGTTGTATTATTACTCAAAAGTTTAGGTATTAATGATTTGGTAAATTTCGATTATATGGATCCTCCACCAATGGAAACACTTCGTTTAGGTAAGTTTAGCATTACTTATTTCAATAGGAAATAATGAATGTTCGAGTTTCATAACAATAGTACATTCGTATGGCAATAAAATCTGTCCATAAGCTCCAATCCGTTGTCTATTTGTTGAAATGATAATTAGTTTGAATTTTGTTAGAAATCACTTTAAAATGACGACTTCAATCAATCTACATTCAAATATCATAAAGAATAGTAGTATACTTTGTAAGATTCTCCAAAGAAGAGATTTGTCATAATCAAATCTTATTGACAGATGTCTCTATATCTTATAACTTCATTAGATTCTTAAATGAAATTTTTTGAAATATTAATTTGTTTTTTTTTTTGTCTTTTAAGCATTCGAACAACTCTATGCTCTTGGTGCATTAAATCATAAAGTTGAATTAACAAAACTTGGTCGTCGTATGGCTGAATTTCCACTTGATCCAATGTTATCAAAAACAATTCTTGCTAGTGAAACATATAAATGTTCAGCTGAAATATTAACAATTGTTTCAATGCTTTCTGTTAATAATTCAATATTTTTTCGTCCAAAAGATAAAACTCTATTAGCTGATACTGCTCGTCAAGCATTTTTTGCACATGGTGGTGATCATTTAACATTACTTAATGTTTATAATCAATGGAAAGATACAAATTATTCAACACAATGGTGTTATGAAAATTTTATACAATTTCGTTCAATGAATCGTGCACGACAAGTACGTGATCAACTTGAAGCATTAATGGAACGTGTTGAAATTGAAATACAATCAAATCCAGCTGATACAATTGGTATACGTAAATCGATATGTTCAGGATTTTTTTATCATACAGCAAAATTTTCTAAAAATGGAATGTATAAAACAGTACGTCATCAACAAAGTGTATTAATACATCCAAATAGTTGTTTATTTGATCAAATACCACGTTATGTTATTTATTTTGAACTTGTTCTTACAACAAAAGAATATATGAGACAAGTTATTGAAATTGAAAATGAATGGTTACGTGAAACAGCACCACATTTTTATAAAACAAAAAAATTAGATGATGATAGTAAAGTAAAAAAAATGCCTAAAGTTTTAGGCAAAATTAAAGCTGAACTTGAACGAAATTATTCGTAAATTATTCTTGTTTATTGTATATGTATTTCTTGTTTTTCTTTTTTTTTCAGATTAAAAATATAAGTGTTCGGCACTTATTTTAATTAAAATTCATTATTTTTTTCTTTCACTAAAATGTTTCTTTTTTTTTTTTTAAATTATATTTTGCAATTCTTTTCATATTCAATAGGTGTTTATTGAGAGAACCTCATGAGTTATGATATGATTTAAATAAAGAAATTTTTCAACCGAGATTAAAAAAATAATCTTGGTACTACCACTCAGAACCATAGAATATTTTACTATAGCCTTTAGCTTCCATTGGGACAACTTTGTCCCATGATCATGACAAAATTCTAAACTTTGATCCTGGACATATCTGCATTAGAATTACAACTAGCATTGATAGTAGGAAAAATATCAGATTGTAGAACCTACCACTAACTACTGTTCTTGATCACTGAATGTTTGCACCATTTTTCGATTGTACTTCATTCATTTGGTAAGATTAATTCTCAAAAGAATTTCAAAATATGTTGATTAAGAAAAGATCTATCTCTCTTTCTTTGTGAAAATTATTTGTAATAAGATTTATTTCAAACATATTAGATTAATCTCTTTTAGATTTCTATATTCTAATAAAAAAAAAAAAAACAATGTCAGAACGATATGGATTTTCATTAACAACATTTAGTCCATCAGGCAAACTTGTTCAAATTGAATATGCTCTCAATGCTGTTAATGCAGGTTCACCAGCAGTTGGTATCAAAGCATCGAATGGCGTTGTATTAGCTACAGAAAAAAAAAGTAAATCATTATTACACGATGATCGTACAGTTCATAAGGTTGAACCAATTTGCAAAAATATTGGTCTTGTCTATAGTGGTATGGGTCCTGATTATAGGTATAGAAGATATTTCTAAATAATTGTAGTTAATATTTCTTTTTTTTTTGTAGATTACTCGTACAAAAAGCACGTAAATTAGCTCAAGAATATATGCTTATTTATGAACAGAATGTACCACCAACACAATTAGTGAAACGAGTAGCTGATGTTATGCAAGAATATACTCAATCCGGGTTTGTCTTTTTTTTTTTGTTACATCTATTTTGAAAAAATTTAAAAAAAGAAAAGAGTATTAATTAATGGATCAATTTTAGTGGTGTACGTCCATTTGGTGTATCTCTACTTATTTGTGGTTATGATTATGATGAAGATCGTCCATTTCTTTATCAATGTGATCCATCAGTAAGAAATTTGTCGTTGTTGTTTTCATAATCGTATATATATATATATATTTATTTTTCGATAGGGTTCATATTTTCCATGGAAAGCAACAGCTATTGGTCGTAATTTTGTTAATGGCAAAACTTTTCTCGAAAAACGGTAAAATAGAATTATTTCTTTGTTAATTAAATTTAGTTAAGCATACATTATTTATTTTTAGATATTCAGATCAATTAGCACTTGAAGATGCAGTACATACGGCTATATTAACACTTAAAGAATCATTTGAAGGTCAAATGACTGAAGATAATATTGAAATTGGTATTTGTGATAAAGAAGGTTTTCGTCGTTTAACACCGGCTGAAGTTAAAGATTATTTAGCACAAATTGCTTAATAAATTTTAAACGGATGAACCAAATATAGAACAATTACATCAATATGAATTAAATAACCATCCGTTTTATATTTGTTACGCTTTTCTTTTTTTTTTCATTATCTTCTCTGCAAACACAGAATAAACATGAAGTTCATCTTTTTTTCTTTTGCATTTTACAAATTTATTATTCTTTAAAGCATCTATTGACCATGCAATGCGAATTCTTAATTACAAAAAGAAAATGATTTAACAATGAGAATTTTTTTTTTGTATAGACAGTATCAATATTTTGAATGTCTAACTGATAGGTTCTATTGTTGCAACTACCATGAAATTCTATTGCTTTTTGAAAGTCACCGATAGATGAGGCTGAAGTTTTCTTGAGAATAAGATACTGTTTTTTTTCTAATTGAGTAATAACGAATATCATGAATGTATTAATTCAAATAAGAAATCCACCGTTGCAGTTCATCCAAATACAATCGTTGACACCTGTTAGCAGCGAATCATAAACAATAAGAAGGAAGAAAATAAACTGTCGTACGTTTCCGAATTGTTTCATTTTCTTTTGTCTTTTTTTTATCATTGACAAAACATAAAGAAAAAAAGTGAATAGCTGCTATCATTGACTATTTACCATTGGACACAAATGAGAGAAGTAATGATCCGAATGAGCAATAACGAAGGAAAAAGTTACGATTCTCCACTTTTTTCTTGCATGCAAGTATTCACTCATGTGTGAAGAGTGATTGAACAAGACAGAGAAGATCAGATTTCTTTCAACAAATATCAATTGCAACTGACCGACACACATTCCATAAAGACCAAGAGAAGATAATGTCGTCAATATTATCCACTTGAAGAGTCAAACGAATCCATTTACTCGTACAGAGTTCGTATATTTGGAGAAAAGCAATCCAGGTCGAAATAGCTATGTTGGGTCCTGTCGGACAGGTTTTAAATCCGCTGACATATGGCTAATCGGATTCGGTCGGTTACTTTTTGTCGGATTCCGATGCTATCCGCTGTTTTTCTTTGATATTCGCTGATCGGATTCATCGAGTTCCGACTAAATTCATATATTCGGAACTGGTCAGATCCGATCTCAGGATCTGTTCGCTTCCGATGGGATTCAGGGGAATCTGATGTCAAGAAATGGCCGGAATTTGTGGTTTCACATGACACTGGATTCCATGATAAAACCGATCAATCACTGGTATCAAAACTTGTCGGATTATATAAGAATACAGAAATTCCATTGATCGGATTTTTTCATGTCGGATAGCATAGATCCGACAGGAATCAGTTACTGACACATATCGGAAATACTCCGTAAACTATGTACGCGATTCAGCGAAATGGCTAGGGCTCTGTAGAAGAAATAATATCATCGCTCTCTTCTTTTCCATTGTCATTCAAGTTTTTCTCATATTCCTTAAAAAAAATCGAATAGCGACGAAATCTATACTTTGAATAATCGTTCAATAAACTTTTGCCGTTCAGTTTTACAAAAACATATCTCTTTTAAAAGCGTTTTCATTAATATTTCAACTAAATTTCTAATATGCTCCCGAGGTTTATCCGATGTTAAATGATTCGTTTTCCTTATACAGTAATATTTTCCACGTAATTGGATTCATAAATTAGAATATATTCTGACAGATCAATCAGCTAATTAATTAATTAATTAATTAGACATTCCTATTTTTATAAATTTCCAACAACAAAATGAAAAATCTGGAAATCCGATTTTGTTCAGATTTCATTCACCGTTTTGTTTTACAGATATCGACCTATATAAGGAAGTCTCTACTTTCATATATCAAGTGAATTCTGCAATTTTGTTTAATTAAGTTCTATATATTAGAAACGATCTTAGTACAAGTATTGTGCGATTTTAAGAAGGTTCGTAGTATATACGTTGTTGGATTCCAGGGATAATCCCAGTTGAAACAGTAGAAATCGTTTAACTCTTGATGACATCCTGATGCAAGCTTTAGAAATTTTGATAATATCCTGATGAAATCTGTACAAAATTTCCATTCAATCCTTGGAAAATCTTTAGAAACCTTGATGAAATCCTTGAAAAATCTTTATAAATCCTGATGAGATTCTTGCGAAATCTTTAGAAATCTTGATGAATTTCTTGCGAAATCTTCAGAAATCTCGATGAAATTCTTGAGAAATAGTTGGAAATCCTGATGAGATTCTTGCGAAATCTTTATAAATCTTGATGAAATTGTTGCGAAATCTTCAGAAATCTCAACGAAAATTCTTGAGAAATAGTTAGACATCTTGATAAAATCCTTCGGAAATCTTAAGAAATCTTGAAGACATGCTTGAGAAATTTTTATAAATCTTGATGAAATCATTGGGAAATCTTCAGAAATCTCGATGAAATCCTTGAAAAATCTTTCGAAATCTTGGTAAAATTCTTGGGAAATCTTTTAAAATCGGGATGAAATCCTTATAAACCTTGATGAAATCTTTGAAAAATCTTTAGAAATCTTGAGGAAAATTTGATGAAATTCTAAGAAATCTCTAGTAAATCTTTGGAAATTTTAAGAATGCTTGAATGAAATCTGTATGAAATATTGATTGAATCCTCGTGCAATCGAAACAGATTCAGCCAACTTCTGACGAAATCCGACTGTATTCTGTCGAAACCTTACGTTATCCGGCGTTTCTCTGTGAAAGGATCCTGTTGGTTACGGCATTATCTGACAAGCAGTTGTGACAGGAACCGATCGGGTCCTTTCCGACGTAATCCGATCCGGAATCCGTTAGTTAGGAATCCTGTGAAATACGGTTGGGTTCCGATCGGATTTAGTTGGGAATCCGACGAATTACGGTGTGATCTACAGGTCGGATTGAATGACCTGGGAAGCAACAATGCAAATGTACTTGATTGTATTTTCCAAATATTGCCAACATTAATTTTAGCCATACAACCTTGAAGTGTACCGAATTTAAACAGAGAACTCTCCGATCTGATTACAAACATATTCACCTTCGATTTACCAAAAGGTGACTTTTCTAGCTCGTTTTGACCATCAAATAGTTTCTGCACTTTGTAGTTGTATAATTATAGTGCGGGTTTTGCCTATCACTTCCACACACTTGGAAACAAAATTTATGATTTGATCAATTAATCTAAGTTCTAACTGTAAATCAATACAAAACAAGTTATCAACAAATTGAATCGTATAAATACAATTGTGAGAGACGAAGCTCGTGTCAAACAATACACTTCGTCAAGTGAAATGAGAGATTTTCTTTGGACTGGAAAAGTTTTACTTGAATTCTAGCAATATTTTCTTCGAGCAAGACTCCCTTAGAAATTTTATCACTTTTCTTGGATTATGAAAATTAACGCTCTTAGAACTTATCTCAACGTTTCATAAATCTATTTGGAAAGACATCATGCACAGAAAACATAAATAAATCATAGAAACGTATCAACAACGAAGAAATGAGTCTCAGAAAATTGAAGAAGCAAACGCACACCATTTTTTTTCTTCGACATCCACGTGTCGAAGAGCAATGCGAGGAGAGCAGCTCTATTGCTTTTAGTTTGTAACTTTCCCTTTTTGCTGTAATTATTGATGCAGATGTACAGCATATATTTCTTATTCTTCTTTCTTAGACATACATGTATTGAAAGGGAGATCGCAATTATTTTTAAGTATAGCAGCTCTCGTTCTTTCTTTCATTCATTCATTCTCAACGATATAAACATGTCATTGAGTGTAGCAAAAGATTTAGAGTGCAAGATTGCCGCTTGGCTTGATGCACATGGAAACAAGATTGAACTTGATATTAATGAAGGTGAACTTAAACAGTGTACACCGACAATGTTCACTTGTTCAAGTCCTCAAACATTTATAAACATTGGCTTCAAACAACCAATTCTCAAATAAGAGGTCAATCTTGAAGAATAACAACGAAATATTCAGTTACATTGCGCTTAATCGACTTTCATTACCAGGTCTAGATGTTCCATCGAATTGGGAAGTCTATCCACAAACACGTATGTCATCGTTTAATGAAGGTGTTCGCATTGAAACATATGAAAATGGTCCATTGCGCGTCAATGTCTTTACACGATTCTTTGCCATTTATGGTCATCAAGAGCAGAAAACTCCAATTATGGACAAACCGGCGGATGAAGGCACTTATTTACAACTACGACGTGACATCGAAGGTATTATTAGACTTGATATGCCATTGGTCTTCGAATGAAAAAAGATTGCCTTGTTATTTACAATGCCGAAATAAATTTTAGCTAGATGATTCATCTTTATCTTATTATTAATAAATATATTGTGTTCTTAGTAGTGGAAAAGCATGTGATAATTTTCTCTAAACCATCACATCCGTTGTGCATCATATTTATTAGGTGAAGCTTCGCACGAGACCTAACTAATGAATGTTCTGATAAACGTATACAAAGAGTTCTGCTGTTTCGTATTAAGAGTGTGGGTGTGGGTGGAATTTGATTAAAAGATACACCTCACTCATACACACACCCATATCCAGACACTAGATCATCAAACAGAGATCATATCTACATTTGAAGATTTTTATTTCATGAAGAAAATGTCACTTTCATTAGAAGCATCTTTTACAAATGGAAAAAGAGGTCCTGAACAGTATTACCATTCGGCAAAGCTGCCATCTTTCAATCGGAACTGAGGTGTATTCCAATCGCCTGCAAATATTCCTGCTCGTACTTTGGCTTCATCTACCTCAATTCCGAGTC